CGGCGGACGGCTTTATCCCTGTCTCCAGCCGGGTGGGAGGGAAGAGCATGTGCAATGCCCAGCTCTGAGCACTGGGTCCCTGCCCCCACACACGGGATGCCAAGGGACGTGCACCTAGGGAGGGAGGTGCACAAATCTAAGCAAAGGTGTGGAGTGGGAAGGCACAAGAGCGTGTGCTGCCCCAGAGGAGAGAGGTTCCTGCGCTCTGGGCAGGGCTATGGGGCCAGAGGCCTGCTGCTGCTCGCTGCGGCCAGTGAGAGCTCCAGAGACCAAGGGGCCCAGTTCAGGCAGTTTGCAGGGTTCCCATGGAGGAAAGGGCGTCTTGGGGGGAGAGTCCCAGCTCAGCCAGCCAGGCCCAAGGGTCCCCTCACAGGGCCTCTGAGTGTGAGTGAAGTGGAGAAAGGAGCCCGAAGCCAAGACCCAGCGAGCAATCCAGCCCTCTCAGCGTTTAATGTGATTACAGAGCAGTGCAGAGAGCCTGGGGGAGCAGCACGCTGCCCCGGCCCCGCTCTGTGTTGTACCGACAGAGAGAAAAAGCCTGACCAGCAGAACTAACCAAGGAAGGAGGGACTAAGCCCAAGCCCATTGCAACCAGCGCTGCCAGCTGGAAACCAGCTCCCCGGCTGCGGGGGAGCAGCTAGGGTGGTGACCGTCAGCCATTGAGGAGTGCGGGGCCGGGGGGAGGGCTATTCAGCACTGTGCCCTGAATGGGGGGAGCGGCTGGGGTCTCATGGCCTCGCTGGACTCCCTGGCAGGACACCCTGGCGTGGATCCCGAGAGCCTGCCCAGAGGCATGCCCTGCCCGGACCCTGTGTGGGGGTGGGTGGGGAGCAGAACCGAACGGGAAGGGGCAGCTGCAGCAGGTCAATCTGCCAGCTCCACGTTGAAGGAGGGTTTATTGGGAGCCGTGTGACGCTGCTCCCAGGCCCCACTCGCAGCCAGCAAGGCAGGTCCCTACAGCACCTGCTGCTGCTAGATGGCCTCTCTGCAGCCTGTAAACCCCAGGGTCCCTGTGGATGAAGCAGATGCCTCCAGGGAGCTGCCATTTCCCTGTCCCTCCCCAGCAGGGAGCCCTGCGCTGAGCAACTTCTGCTTCTGGGCAAGGACGCAGGAAGCACTGCGCAACCAGGGCTGCTGGCCCTTGCCCTGAGGTCATGTCTGCACCTGCGTAATTGTACCAGAACGGGGCACCATTCAATTGGTGCAAAAGTGTGTGCCAGGACTCGGATTTGTTAACCACTAGGCCAACGTGTCCAAAGCACACACCTGTGGGAGGCTCCTCGCCACAGCATCCCAATGAATACCAGCCCGTGCCGTCTGCTGCCCGAGGAAGGCCTGTTTCCCTCGCTGGAATAGCTCTTCCTATCACAAATCACGCCAGGGGGAGGCTGGGGAAGTCCCCCCCCCCCATACATCTCATCCCAGTTAGCTGAGCAAGGCATGTGGGGGGGGAGGGGGCATGTCCCTATGTATACAGCCACTGATGGCATTAGAGCACCGTCGTGCGATGACAGAGGACGGCCCTGGAGAGGGTCGTGCCCCAGCTGAGGCCGGGGAGCAGGGAGCGGCACAGGCATGACAGGGCTTGGCGGTCTGCGACGGATCTGCCACCAGGAAGAGGAGCGGAGCAGGAGATGGGGGATGGCCTTGGGGGAGGACTAGCCGGCCAGCCCAGGCCTGGGGTCACAGCTCCCCGCTGTGCTTGATCAGGTAGCCACTAAAGGTGACGTAGGTGTCGTACTCGTCGCTGAAGACGGCGTTCTCCCGCTCGCCCTTGAAGAGACGCACCCAGACCTCGTCCTGCTCCTGCAGCTCCAGCATGACGCTCTGGCTCTGCATGATGCTCCGGTCGCTCTGCTGGGCGTAGAGGATCACCACCTCGACCCCGTTCTTCACCATGTGCAGGTAGGTCTCCTTCTGGTTCCAGGTGTGCACGTTGAGCGCAAAGTAGTAGATGCCGGGCACGTAGCAGTAGAACTTGCCCGTGAACATGTTGAAGTGGCCGTAGAGGTTGACAAACTCGGTGTCGAAGAGCAGCGTCTGGTAGTAGTCGTTGCTGTGCAGAGACTTCTTGCGGCCCACGGAGAACGCGGCGTAGTGACTTTTGCATGCCTCCCCCGTGGCCCCGATGCTCCCCTTCTGGCCCTTGGGCCCCGTGTGGCCCCTGCTGCCTGCCGATCCGGCTTTGCCAAACTTTCCCTGCAGGCCTCGCTCGCCCCTGTCTCCTTTCTCACCTGGGCAAGGCAAGACGGACGTTGTTTGCACTGGAGAGGCCAGCACCATCCTTGCCCACTCAGAACAGCACACAGCTCTAGTACCAGCCCCAGGGCATGAGCCGGGCACAGCAAAACAGGCTCCCAAGCAGAGCCGAGTGCCGGCTCATCCTCACTGCAGCACCTCACACGATAGAGCTCCCTGCCTGGAGGCCACCCACCTTCCAGGGCTTAACTTGGGCTGCGTTCCCACCCGCAAGCCTCAGTGCTCTCCCCCTGCGCCCTGCTAGCCCCACGCTGCAGGGACTCCGGCTTTCCCAGCCACCAACCTTCCCTAGGTCTCCCCAGGCATTCCTGCAGCTCCACGCCTGGGCTACCAGCTCCGGCTGCCCTGCAGGCCCAGCACGTCCCTGCAGCATTCCCAGGGGGCCCAGTGGTTGTTACCGCCTGGTGCCTTTGCTCAGGTTCTGGGCTGATTCCCCCGTGTACCCTCCAGGCTGTAGGACAGTGCCGGTGCCACAGTCCCCTTCCCTTCTACTGAGGGCAGCCCTGGGGCTGAGTCCAGTTCTGCCCACTGATGATACCGAGAGGGCCCAGGCCTGAACAAAAGGCTCCCGGAGCGGCTGCCATGTTCTCGATTACCCTGTGCTCCCAGGTCCCCTGCCCATGCCCAGACCCACGTCCTCTGCTACCCCGGTGCTCCCTGGTCGATGCCCGCACCCCCCGCTCTGCTCTGGGCAGTGACTTGGATTGGGGGTTCTAGCCTCTGGCCCCTGGCTTTAGCACAAGGAGCGTTTCCAAATCTGGCCCTTTGCAGGGGGGGCGCTAAAGAAACTGAACCGTGAGGTTTGTCCAAGAGCAGCAGCCCCAGTGACCAGAGTGGTGCCCAGGGAGACAAGTGACGGCAGCAGCTGGAGCCCAGTCCCACACGTGGTCCTGGGAAGACGCTCCAGGCGCAATGCTGATCGGTGCCCTGGGAACATGGAGGCCAGGTGGCACTTCAGGCCCTCCCGAAAAGCCGATTCCCACTGCCCAGCACTCGGGGGTGCCAGGGGCCCCAGGATGAGCTGAGAGCACCTGACACCCACTCTGCATCGCAGGGCAGCACTGGGGGCCTTGTGGACAAGGCTATGAGGGGAGGTGGAGACACAGAGCTCCGTTCTGCCCCAGCCTCTGGCCTCACACTGCCCTCTAGTCCAGACACCGCTGAGGGAGCAGGATTTCGCCTGTCCCCATGGATCCAGGATTCTGTCCCAGGCCCCCTGCACTGTCCAGCCAGTGGGGTGGCTAGGTCCCCTTACCTTTCAGGATGGTGATGTTGATGTGGGGCAGGGGCTGGTACATGGGGTAGGCAGAGGAGTGCATGGGGGGGTCGCAGCAGCGCACGCACTGGGAGCGAGGAGGCTGCTTGTCCAGGTTGCGATGATATTTCTCGTGGTCCTGTTCGGCCCTGGGAGGTACCAATCAAAGAGCAGCACTGAGGCCTCAGGGTGGGAGCTGGGAAAGCAGCTTCAGCAACCCCTGGGACGAGAGGGCTGCCCCGGGATGCACTGGGGAGGTGAGGGGAGCCTGCTGTGTGTGGAGGAAGCCGGCCACCCCAGGGACCTGCCCAAGCCCACTCCACTGAGCAGTGGAGAGGTGCTGCCCATCGTCCATGCGCCCCAGCTGGGGAGTACCCCAGCGCCCTTTCCCTGGCCCTCCCCCAGGAGCAGGCGTTTCCAAGCCTAGTGACTGCAGGCCTTGGGGATGCCTCTTGTCCCGCCTGGGGCAGGTCTCCTTCAGCTCAGGCCATGTGCTGGCTGTTCTGTGAGGCAAAAGAGCCCCGCCGAAGCCCCGTCCGCGTTGGCGCCCCCTGCCCCCTAACCTGGCAGCGTGGCGGTGGGACGGTGCCCGCGTTGCCTCTCCCTGCTCCTCCTCGGGGTGGCTGGGCTGGCTCAGCGTGGAGTTGGGCAGCAGCAGACAGGCGAGCAGCAGGAAGCTCAGTGCCCAGGGCCCCTCCATCCTGCTGGGGGAAAGGCCAGTGGGGAGGTCAGCCCCTGCCAGGCACTCTGGGCAGGCCCCAGACCAGTGGTGGGTTTGTCCCGGAGATGGACACGCAGTGCACCCCACGGGGCCATGGTCTGAGTGTGGGGAGCGGCAGCCTGCAGAGCTGTGGGGAAGGGGATGGGGGGGCTGGACCTTGGGTTGCCAATTTTGGTTGGCCGTATTCCTGGAGATTTAATCCCATGACATAATCTTGAATTAAAGATTAATCTTTAATTCCTGGAGACTCCAGGTCAATCCTGGAGGGTTGGCAACTATAGCCTCACCCCCACCCCTGCAGCACCAAGGAGCCGCTGAGAACTGGGTCAGAAGGTCTGTGGCAGGCCCAGCTTGGAGAGGCTGCAGGGCCCTTCCTGGCCCCAGTGCCCCCTCCCCCCCTGCCCTGCGGGCCTAAGGGATGCCCTAGGCTGGGCTGGGCAAGTTGCCCGGGCCTGCGAGCCTGGTACAGGCCCTGGCCGTGCAGCACCGAGGGGCAGTGCGGGTGTAACTGCTGGTCTCTTTGCTTGTCCTTCCTGCAGTGGGTTTGGGCTGGGCTAGAGCCCCATGGGGGAGGGGTGCAGCCTCCCTTCACCCCACCCCGTCACTGCACCAGGAGCAGCGAGCAGGCTCTGGTGAGCCCCAGGGAGCACATGCCCTGCACGGCCCAGGGCCAGCCCCAGGGCAAGGTGCAGGAGTGCATGGGGCCCCGGCTGGGCTGCCGGCATTGCTGCTGGTTGCAGTGGCTGTTCATGGGAATGCCACCGGGGCTGCACGTGAGCCCGGCCCAGGAGGGGGCTGTCAGCTGGTGCTGGGTGGGGCAGTAAGGGATTGGCAGCGTGCCCGCCTGGATGGAGAGGCGCCGGGAAGCAGGCTACCTGGGGGCAATCCAGACCCCGAGAGGGGAAGCAGCCTGGCTGTGAGCTGCAGCGGGCAGGGGAGATGGTGGAAGCTCCATCACGTGGACCGGGCATTAGGGAGGCATCACATTGGGCAAGGGGTCCAGTAGGCCGCTCCCACCTCTGGCTCCTCAGAGCTTCTAGCAGGTCAGAGCCAGGCACCACATCCTGAGCTGCTGCCCACTGCATAGGGGGAGGGGGGAAGAGAGACCCTGCCGACCCCACACAGCAGCCCTAGCTCCTGTTTCTCCAATTAATTCAAATCCACATCAGCCTTTCAGCAGCTCTAGGCTCTGTCTCCCCTTCCCCAGCGCTGGCCTGGGTCTCTGCACGCCCAGGAATGACCACGGTGCCGGCCTTGCACAAAACACAGCAGGCCCTGGGCGGCTGCTCCAGCTGTATCCTTCCCTCCAGCCAGCCCTGCCCCACAGGTGCCAGAGGCCTGGCCACAAACCTCCCTCCCACCCTCCAACAGCCTCAACCCCGCTCGCCCCCAGCCCCAACGGAGCTGTACTGGGACTGGCAGCAGTGAGTCATCGGGCCCAGCACCCGGAGCCAAACGCCGCTGGCTGACCCGGGTGGGCCTGCTACAGCTTCACACAAGTGCCTGGAGTCCTGGCTAGGCGGGGGCTGTTCCGGCAGAGCCAAGCATGAGGCTCCCTGGGACCGCGCCGCTCGCCTGCCAGCTGAGGGGAAATCCGGAGCAGGGCGGGCAGATGCTGTGTCGGTTTGTCCCCCCCGCCCAGGCCTGAGCATTCAGCGCTGGGCAGGGAGTTACCTGGGGTGGGAGAAGGTGGGGCTAACGCTGGAGCCAGATCCTGCAGTGCTTAGCCAAGCCTTCCTCGGGCTGCTGCCCATTGGCGTCGTGAGGGAGGACTGCGGAACCCCTGGCCACAGCGCTCGCGCTTCACCTGCTGACTGGAAAAATAATCAGCGGATAATGGCGTCTCTGGGGATGAATGTGAAGATTTGTAGCCTGCAGAGGTGTCGGGTCACTAGCCCTGGCTGTCAGGCAGAGCCCATGCGCTCGGCACGCTTCCCCCAGTGACAGCCTGGACTCTCTCCGGTAGGGCCAGGACTTCCCTGCGTAACACGAACCCGTCCCGACCCCGCCAGGGACCCACTAGCACCAGCGCCCGCCCCAGACACGGGTCCCACCAGCCGCCTGCCTGGGCAGCTCCAAGGGCCCAGGAGAGGGCAGAGCTGGGGGTGGGGGGGCGCGTCTCTCATTGGGCACCTCACCCCATGCCCCTCCCCTGGGCAGCGGCCATATGGGCAGCAGCACCATGGTGCCACAGGGCTGGCTGGGCACTCAGGAGCAGCATCTCCCCAGCTCAGCCCCTCTTTTCTCTTCCCAGCCCCCCAGTACTGGGCTCGGAGAGGAGGCTTCTTGCTACCACCTGCCACTCTGCTGCCACCAAGCCCTGCAGAGGCCCACGGGACTGCTTGGCCCCTTCCGGCCCCAGAGGCCAGGCCCCCAGCAGGGAAAAAAAAACCCTCATGGGAAAGGGGGAAAGGGAAGGCCAATGGGGCAGGCAGGAGGAGAGTTAATTGGGAGAGTGTCTGGAGCAGGGTGGGGGGGTTAATGGATGGGGAGAGGGGCTCTCCCTCTCGGAGGGGTATGCACCTCTGCCTCTTGCAGAAGGGGAGCCCTGTCCCCTAGCTGGGGGGCACTTCAGCTCTCCCTGCAGAGTGGGGTGGCCCCCTACGCAAGCAGCTCCCACAAGCAGCGCAGATCTGTGCACTCAGACCCTGGCTGCACTCCGTCAGCTCAGCCGGAGCTCTCCCCCCACCCCCCACCCCCAATCTGATACCCAGTGTCGCTTACACCTGGCAGCGTGGGCGAGAAGGGGCACATTGCATGGTGGGTGCCAGGCAGGAAACAAACGTCTCTAGCGCCAGGGCACACGCAGGCCCCTCTCCCCACCGTACACAAAGGGGCCCGCTGCCCCCCTGGGATCAGAAGCCGCTGGCCCAGCTGGCAGCCAGCACTCAGCAGGAGCCTGGCCAGTGTCTCTTTTCAGGACAAGTTTTAAGGAAACACAGTCTGCTGGCAATCAGGAGCCCAGCTGGGAGCCAGCAGCCAAAGGAGACGGGCTCTTGGAGCTTGGGACCGTGTGCTCAGCGAGGGGCCGGGCCAAGGGTAATATTTGCATTCGCCCATGGCACCACGCGCCTCGCTGGGCAGCCGCTCTCCCTCGCGCTGGTCCCGCTCAGCCCCTTTTGAGTCACGGCAGCGTCCAGCCGACGCCGAGGAGAGGGGGGGAGCCCTCGGCATCTCCTGGCCCGCAGCAGCTCTGCTGGTACACAGGGACCCCCAGGGTGCATGGGCAGGGCCCTCGGCAGACACGCAGGTGCAGCTGGGGGTAGTAGGAGCCAAGGCTTTTCAGGGGGACATGCCTGCTGCAGCTACAGGCCTCGCGCTGGACATCACGGCTAGCCCGGGGACAGCGGGGGAGGAGGTGGCGCAGGGCACTGCCTAGGCATTGCTAGCCAAAGCTGCTCCAATCCAGGGTGCACCTTCCCCCCCAGGGCCTGATCCAGAGAGGTGCTGAGTGCCCACAGCTCCCCTTGGCCTGGTGCCTCTGGAGACAGGTTAAGGCACAGGCATGACCGGCCTGGCCACCTGGAGTCAAGTGGTTGCGGCAGAATTTGCTTTTGCTTTTAAAGCCAGGCTCCGAAGAGGGACACTTGGGTGCATGGGACACATGGGCAGCGTGAGCACTCGGCCACATCAGGGCATCTGCAAATTCCTCTGCTCTCTGCTTTGTGGCGGGAGTTCAAGGGCAGAATATTTGGTTTATGAGTCATGTTAATTACAGCGGAGAGCAGCCCAGAGGGGAGGGGGAACAGAGGTGGGGAGGGATGGGCTGGGGATGGCGCAGGAGTCACTGAAAGGAAACCCCAGCCCACACGTACTCTTGGCAAAGGGTTCCATCCCCTCACTCATCCCCCGGGTGCCTGCCCCACCTTCTGAAGGAGGGTGTGGGGGAGGCTGGGTGTCCCCTGCCTGCAGCACAGTAGGGACACGGTGCCCTCGCCAGTGCTCTCAGCTGCTGAGCGAGGGCAGAGGGCACAGACTGAGAATCTCAGGGAAACCCCATGATCTGAGCTCAGCCAGGCACCAACCCCCCTCCCCTGCCTCGGAGCCTTACGCACTACAGACAGTGACCTGAGTGCACACACTCCGTGGGCAAAGGCTGTGTCCACCCATCACCCTCGCAGGATGCACAGGGGAGTTGGAGCTGGGGTGCCTCATGCTCTCTTCCCTGCTCCCCAACCTCTCCCCACTGGCCTGCCCCTTCCTTCTCCTCTCTCAGGGACAGAGACACAGAGCAAGTCAGCTGGAGAATTTCACAGAGAGAGGGAATTCCAGAGGAGAACCTGCCGGCCCCCTGGGAAGCAATGATGCCCTGACAGGCCTGGTTTTCTTAACCCTATGCTGCCCTTTGACTGTGTGCTTGGGCATGTGAGCATGTGCCAGTGTACTCGTGCATGCATGAGAGTTTTTGTGTAAGTGTGCATGCACATGGATGAGCGTGCGAGGGTGCCTGAGTGCGTGCAGAGACGTATACACTGTGACTCTGGAAGTCTGTCTCTTTCTCTGCTGTATAATAAGCCAGGGAAAAGAGGCTTCCAGTTGTTAGGCGTTTCCCGCTGGAACCCAAAGCAGACCCAGTCTTTGAGAAAACCCATCTCCTGGGGTCTGCTCAGCTGGGCTGACAAACCCTAACCAGGAAATTCCCACTGAGACAAAGCAGTTCGTTTCCCAGGCCATCCTGGGGCAGGAAAAGGAGGCAAGCACCTGCTCACACGCTGTGCACAGAGCTGGCCGAGCTCACACTCACCACCTTGCACAGCTACACACACAGGCAGACACATGCATACGGAATGCACAGGCACAGACACACACGCTTGCACTCTTACTACCCGGACTTTGTTTTTTCCTGTCCAGGCTGGAAGCTCTCCAGGAGAGCCCGGGAATATGTAAATTCACTTCCTGAGAAAGCCTCAAGCCTGTAAGGCAAAACATCCTGAAATAAACTCTAGGCAGCATTAAGGACCGGGCTGAACTGAGCACAAATCCCAGCGAGTGAGAGGAGGAGGGGCCCAGGCAAGACCTGGTAGGCATGGGGCAGGGGAGCTGGAGACGGGCAGCTGGACTGTGAGCCCACCCCGCTTCCCCTGTCCTTGGGGTTTCCAGGGTGCAAGGACGTGATGCAGACACAGGCCTTCCCTGGCTTCTTGTGACAAAGCCAGGAAACGAGATCCTGTTACCCAGCAAACACTGCAGTGGGCATGGGACCAAGCAAGCAAATCACCCCCCTGCCCCCCACAGACACGCCAGGCTGTGCCAGGGCGGTGGCACATCACTGGAGCTGTTGGCACTGCCTGTCCGTAAGGGCCTTTGCCCCAGATGCCCGGTGTAAGGACCGAGTAAGCTGGGGCACCTTTGTTGTTGACGCCAGCCCTGCCCCGGGGAAGGGTGCAGGCTGCTATGGGAGCACGGAGCTGAGCAGAGCTGCTCCGAGCCGTGCTGGGGAACGCGGAGGTGTCCCAGACGGAGCAGTAGGGAACAGCAGGAGATCTGTCAAACTCTGAACAGTCATTTCCCAGCCTAGGCTCCAGGGCCCAGAGCTCCCCTGGAAGTGCGGGCTTAGGCCCAAGCCGAGGGCTGCATGTGCTCCCTGCTGCTGGTGAGCTCATGTAGTGGGGGATCCGGGTGCCATGATCCCAGGTGAGCTCCGGGTGCTGCCCCGGGTGCTGCCTTTGTTTGGCCATTTGAACAGGGGCAGCCCCTGGCATCCCTGATGCCCCCAGCACAAACACCCAGGGCCTTGCCAGCCCGCCCACCCGCCCTCACACGTACTTGTGGCAGGTTTGACGCCTCGGTGGCTGGAGCCCAAGGTGCTGGCCGTGCTGGAATTGTTTCTCTCGCCCTCTCTCGGTGCGTTTCGCCTCCCTACAGCATCCCCTTTGAGCTGCCACTTCTACCCCCTACTGGGGTGCAGGGAGGCGGAAAGTGGGGTGCCTGGCCCAAGGCAGCTCTGCTCCCTGCCCCTCTAGCGCAGCCTCTGCTCCTCATACGTCCCGAGCGGAAACGCACTCTCTCCAGCGTAAAGGAGGAGAGGGAAGAAAAGGGACAAACCCAGCAAAGCAGCCCTCCCCTGCCAGATGTGAGCTGCGGCAGAGAGCAGGGCCTGTGTTAACCATGTGTGCGCCCAGCACTGCCGCCCGCTCTGCCCAGGACAATGATGGGAGGTTTAACGTGCCAGGACAGAACTCCAGATGTCTGAGGCTGGAGCCAAGGGGGAGGCACCAGCCTCCAAGTGGCTCAGCTCAGCAGAATGACAAGCCCAAATCCCCTGCAGTGCCACAAGGCTTTCGGCCAAGCCCCCAGGTGTGTCTCAGACTGGAACAGTGCCGGGCAGCCCAGGCGCTGGGGAGGTTATTTTTACAGGTACAGCCAGCACCTGGGTGCTGCGCCAGAGCCGTGTTGGGCTGGCTGCAGACTGCGGCCTGGCCTGGGGCTGCTGGAGGAGGCTGAGGGTGCAGGGAGGCTGCGGGGGCGCAGCTGAGACAGCTGCATTGGTGCGTGCAGGAGGGGAGGTCGCAGGCTGCTCACCCCACAGGGAGCACAGCCTGTGCCCCTCGGGATGTGAGGAGAGGGCTGGGCTTTTCCTTGGCGGTAGGGTTCCCCAATCCTCATGGGTGTATGGCACTTTGGGGAGCAGCCACCACGGTTCTCGGCTCCATATGGGGAGTGAGTGTCAGGGCAGGGGGCCCAGGCTTTGCTGGTCTAACCCCGGAGCCATCCCTGTTCCGCCCACCAGCTGGGACTCTGGGTTCTCCCCAGGAGAGGAAGGCTCCAGCCCCAGAAGCAGGGTTGGCCCTGTCACGG